AGGAGCCATGTCATCACAAGACTTGGTATTTGCCAACAATGCAAAAGTATCACTGCCTGCTTTGATGATTCCACAGTGCTTCGCCATTCAACAAACTGGTCTCACCTGAACCCCATAGAGTTAATGTTGTAAAGGCATAACCATCGGCTGATCTCCTTTATGCCACACTGCTGCACGGATGCATTATTTCATTTCTGAATATCTATTTTTTCATGCAACATTCTGATTTTTTAAAACATATTGTTTAATTCTCAGAAATATTATATATAACTTGATTCATGTTTTTGTTTTTTATTAAATTACTGAAACTAATTTTGTTGTTATTGAAATTTACTGTAACTAAACTGTAAAAAAGCTTATATTATTTTGAAACATACCTTGTTTAACATATTCTGTCCAAGTTTTATGTGAAACACGGCTATTATTTCTCACATAATACCACTACAATTCTATCTGTGAAATATTTTCCATTTTCTCTCTGCAACCCTGCAAAAGCTACTTGTATGCGTGTTTTTCACCCGTGTGTCTGGTTCCTGTCCTGTGTCCTTTGTGTCTTCTGTCTGTGTGTCCTTTAGGAGTTATACAGTCTACTACACCCCCACTCGACATATCTTGAAATACAGGTGACCATATAGAAGACAATTATCCCATAAATTATCATATAAACTCATACTTAACAGAAACAGTATGGACTGGCAAGTTATAAAACATTTGATTCATTAATCATAAGATTTTTATTCATTTTTACTTTTATGGGGAAAAATGAAAAATGCATGTATGCAAACTGTTAATTTCTTCCATCAAATATCATGTCCCAGCATCTTTCTGCTCCGGAATCAACGGAACAATGTGTTTATAAAGTAGTCGTAAAGTGCAGCATGCTGGCCTCACCTGTCCCATTCACACATCACCAACGCCCCCCTGAATTCAAAGGGATGCAGTCCTGGGGGAAATAAGGCTGCAGTGAATGTTACATCAACATTTACAGGGGAAATCAGCAGACAGACGCTGGTAAAGAAATGCACATTATTAACAGATTATTAGCAACCTTAACCACCTCTATTAGCAGATGTTTTGAAAGTGAACCGTGCGGACAACTGTTAAGATAAATACTGAACAATAATCTAGAACAAGGCTAGAGCCTAGCCTTGGCCAGCCATCATCTCTTTCTGCTCTAAATCCCTGGTGGCTCCTCCAATGTCAAGCCGTCTTCCTCTGGGTAAGCCGCAGCCACTCCCTGCCTATAGTACAGGTAAAAGCCAGTTAATTAGAATATTTTGAAAAACTTGATTTATTTCAGTAATTGCATTCAAAAGGTGTAACTTGTACATTATATTTATTCATTGCACGCAGACTGATGCATTCAAATGTTTATTTCATTTAATTTTGATGATTTGAAGTGG